GTATCTATAATAACCTTATTTTATTTATTTTTGATAATTTTCCGTAATTTTTMTTGCATAAGAAAGATAGAGAAGAAAAGAAAAAAGCGCGAGATTTTGTCTTATCGCGCGCTCGTAAAAAAATGTGGGTTTCCTGTGGTGTATGTCATAATCGTACGATGTAAAATAATTACAGTTCAAGTAATAGTTGGGCTTCTTTACCATTTATGTAAAATGCATCGTGATCCCATCGTTGTTTTTTTTTTAATTGACAGCCATTTGCAAGCGATGTCGTCTTTTGTTAAGTCCAACAGAGCAAAAACACTATGATGACGCAGAAAAAGTAAGCAAATATCTATGTTGAATCAAAATCAATAGGTAAATAAATGAAAGTTTTTATTTGGGACGTTTTAATAGGATGATCGTGTTAGTGCTCTGTATACTGCAATGGAGAACCTAACTATAACCACTGAAGTGTCAAGTACGTTTCACTTAGAACAGCCATGCGCTGACGTTGGATCTACAATTGGTTCTAGTGAGGAGTTAAGCACATGTTCCTCCTCTATGAGAGATTTAAGTCAATATATCCCWCAGAACACAGACGAAAGTACAAGCAGTTCCACTGAGCATAGGAGATAGTAGTTACAGTTGAGACATTAAAGTGCCGTTCACTAAATCTGGATATTGACTTCTGTTTACAGTGTTGTATCGGTTTCATGGGACTGCAAATCTTGTGAAATATCGCCTATTAGACTATTATTTAAAGAACATAACAAAATGATAAGAAATAAAAAATAGGGTAGGAATTTCACTTCTGAGGTATATAGCTTGAAAACGTCAGTCTCAAAAGAAATTTTTCATTCAGCATCGACGTCTCGGTAATTATTTTTTGGGAATTAGATTTTAGATACAATTCCAGTGATGTCACGTATACTAAAATACAATAAAGACTGTTTACTGAATTAGCATATTAGCGCCTGAGACGGCTGCATGATTCTTAGCTCCGTGTATTTTTCATTTTATATCGTTATTGTACTTTCTCTCGAACTCTTTTCTCGACGTAGTAGCTCTATTGGATCGTATTTATGTTTTTTCAAGTTAATCTGCTATGTTTTTCGCAAGATCTTCGATATTTATTTGATTTCTCCTCGAACCGCTTCAGACCATGGCGATGCACTCAAGTGATTACTGGTTTCCTTCTGCATTCGTTCTTTTAACTACTATCCTCATCCTCTTCTCGCTTCAAATGGTTTTCCCTTTTTATCTCCAAYCGCCACAAGTTGTTTTTATCGTGATGTATCTGCTTTTTCTGGTCCTTCTGCTGAATTCTTCGTTCGATCTTTAGTTTTGCCGCCATATTCAAATTCGATTTCAACAAAACAGGCAACAACAACTCATCTTAATTATTCAAGAATTCAACTTCYACGCCTTAAATCTAYGCCTTAAATCTYCAATTCCACCAAATGTTTTTAATACTTTAAAAGATCTAGGCATTCTGAATACTCGGCGAACTCGTGCTGGTRTTCGATATAAACAGAAATCTTGGCCTATATCTTCGATTATTTCAAACCGTTCGGTATTGCCTACAGTCGAATAATAACATTTCTGCACCTTTGCTTTTGCCTTTCTCACCCTCTTTGGATAAGCCTGCTAAGATTTGTCTTTTTAACGCAAGGTWAGTGTATAACAAACCATCTTATATACATGATTTTACTATTGATAATGATGTTKATATTATTTGTTTMACTGAAACATGGTTAAAAAGTGAAAACGTTAACAATCAATCAGTCATTAATAAGATAACTCCAAATGTCTTTAAACATGTTGCTAGAGCTGGTAGAGGTGGAGGAGTTGGTTTTCTTTATAAGAAAACTCTAAAAATTGGGCAAATTTCACTTGATAAATTCAATTCCTTTGAAATCATGGGCATGTCAGTTAA